GTAGGTAAGAACCTAACTCTATTACTTCAGTACGTTGCTACCTGTATGATTTTTAACGTGGCTAGTGACTTGAATGGATGCTTGGCGACTAGGAAGCCCAGAAGTCTGTTACTTCTGTATAAGGAGTGTCGCTTGGAATGCTGGCTTTTGGTCTAACCTGACTTCTTTGTGGCATTTTAAAAGTAGTGGAACATGTGATGTTTCAGTAGCTTTACAACTAAATCGTGTGGTTCCTGGAGGCTGAAACAAACACTGGCTTAAATATTCTTCAGAGGCAGCATTTTGTTTGGCTCTGAAGTACGCTCTGGTAAGTGGCGCTCTTCTCTGCAGGTCTTGGCTGTCCCACTACTCTGTCACCTGAAGGAGCTGCCCAGTTTGCTGCCCAGATATTTGGGTTAAACAACCACTTGGTGTGGGCCAAACTGCGATCGAACATGTTAAACACCTGGATCTCCTTGAAGCAGGCTGACAAAAAACTTCGAGAGTGCACCTTGTAAGACATACTAACAAGTAACTTTTATTAGTTATGCAAAGGTAATGGCGTGTGTATTCATTCATATTAGGATTTATGTTTGGATGAGCTCAAACGTCCTGCATCCTTTCTTACAGAAGAAAGCATTGTTAGAGCAGCAGATGAAGTCTGTCGTATCCTCATCCTTCCCTTGTGTATTTTTTTAATATGACAACTTAGTAAAAGATGGGGAAGTAGTATTTTAGGTATCTCTTTCTGTTGCTCCGAAATGGTGCTGTTCTGCTTTTGAGTGTATACCGTTAACTACAGACTCTGTCAAGAGAATGATTTGGTGCGATCTAAATGGAATTCAACTAGTCTTCTGTAGTCCTGTAACAGAAATATTCTTCCATAGTAATAATGTATGTCTTGAACCTTATTAACTCAACTGGACTGCTACCTAAAGCCAGTGCTGCTGCTGTTCTGCTTGCAAGGATGGTGTGCTTTCTTTAGCAATAAAATGGCAACATAGGCTGTATTAATAGGAAAAGGGGCTGGAAAAACGTTTTAAGAGCGTGAAATAAATACCTGCCTTATTTAAAAAATGTATAGACATACATTTTTGTGGTGTTTTTTTTTTTTTTTTTAAATGTGTGTGTGTATACCTACCCCATCACTGTATCCTGGAATGATGTGGTAACCTTGACACCAGTTCCCTTGTTCATACCAAGCTATAACTACGAATGGCCTGAGTGAACTGTAACCAGGCTTGTTGCCCGTTTGCTGTAACTCTGGCCTAGTCCAGTCCTTGCCCTTTTAAATACTAGGCCGACCTCTGCCTTCAGTAGTTCTAAAGGGCCTGTGTGATGTTGTCAAACTGTCTTCTACACTTCAATAACTTCAACTGTTGTATCTCTCTATTTCCTCGCTCTGTTTCTATGAAAATTTTACTGAACTGAAGGGGGGAATAAATAGTAAAGCAACAAACTACTGGGGGGAAATCAAAGCATGACTGTCTTGTCCTTGCACACACCAATCTTCTGAGTAGGTACGATTCTAACAAATATGCAATTACTCGATGTATGTAACACTTATGCCTTTACAATTATGAATAAACTATGGAATTCAAAGCTGCTTCATGGAGATTTACTGAATAAGTACACTCAAGAAGTAGCTATCAGCTGTGGTACAGTATAGGTAATGCTCTTGTGAAAAGCTTCCACTGTGGAAGCACCAGCTGAAAAGCAAAGATCCCCAAAGACAGTGGGTTGTGTTTTTAACAAGCAAGCCCTTTCCCTAGGCTGTACTCAAGCGCATAGTTACGCTGTCACACCTGGCAGCACGCTGTGGGCTGAACTTCAAATAGCAGAAAAATTAATGGGCAAAGAAAGATGAGTGTGTGTGTGCTCTGCTTGCTTGGGTGAGTGACTGGGATCATCGTCTCTTGTGATCTGGCCAGGGCCGAGAGCTGTACAGGGGAGCACAGCACTGCTTTCTCCTGGGGGCGCAGCCTGCTTGCTCCCCTCTATCCCAGTACAGGGCCTGGGGCGGAGCTATGTGAGAGAGGGAGGCAAAGGCGGCGTTGCCTGTTCCCCTCCCTACCCAACACTACGCTGGGTGCTGGCTCTGATGGATCATCAACCTGACAAGCTTATTTGTCACCTGGCTACCCCAGCGCTAGGCCCCCCCCGCCGTGTGGCTGCAGTGTATTGCTGTCTCTGGGCAGTCTTCCCCCATGCCATAAAAGTTAGTAACAGACACAGGTTTGAGTGTTACACCTGAATATTCTGTACTGTCTCTGGTTACTTTTCTCAAATTACTTGCACCCTGATCATACTCACTCCATTTGTAAAATTGTGCCAGGTTATGTTTGGCATGAGCACGCTGAGTGCTTCGGTTGCCATGGAGATGGCCATTCTTTGTGGATGGGGTGGGTTGTTTGGGGTTTTTTTGTGCAGTCTGTACTGAACTCTCAGAAGCAAACCCTTGCTTGAGCAGTTGCCTTGCAAAGTACTGAGACAGCAGCCAGCATTAACAGTGCGTTGCCGTCGTCAGCAGATGAAACCTGTGATGTTTATCGTGTCTGCAAGGACTTTATGTAGCATATAGTTGTCCTAAAGGCTGCGGTGCTGCGTGTTGGCTGTTTAGTTGGTTAGCTGGAAGTTCCTCACAAAGCTTTTGCTATGAAATGAAAAGATTGCCCCTTGGTTCAGCATTCCAGCTACTGCATTGATGCAATAACCTGGCAATGTCTTCAGCTCTCGTAGCACTTGGCTTCCCCGCCCCCCCCAATTTCAAAAACTACCCCAACAAATTCTTAAATAAAAAGTGCTTGTATCATCACAAAGACTATTACATAGAGCGGTTACTGAAATTTATTTGTATTTTTTAAATCGAGTTGGAAAGCCTGTAATGAAAATCTAATTTTTAAGCACCTGCTGTGGAACCTAGGACCCTGGATTAGACCATGTCCTAATTCGCAGCGTTACCTGCTTAGCAGCGCAGGTTCTTTAAAGAGATCAGCAAGGACCTGTTTCGACTCAGCAGAGGGAAGGGCTGAGGGCAGGACTTTACATCCTACAGGTACAGGTGAGTGGCACCTGGTGTTCAGCCTTGATAACATCATTTCATTTCCAAAAAAACCCCCCAAAAACCCATTCTGCAAAAATGAGGGGAAAACCAGTCACAGCTCCCACCCATTCCTCCTCCACCCTCAGCCCAAAGGTTAAAGCACCCACCCGGGACACTGAAGGTGTGGTTTTAATATCCACTGCCTGTGGAGAGCCATAAAAAGTGAACGGAAGGCCTGGGAGAGGATGGGAGCAAGGCTGCTCAGGGAGGGCATTAAGGCACTCCCTGGTTTTGAAGCCTTTCTTTCTGCAAGCTGTGAAGTAATTCATACCCAAAGAAAAAACGTGACCGCTCCCTCACTAGAGCGGGCATTTGAACCTTTTCTCACGGCCCCAGTGATTGCCTTAGCAGTGCGACTTAAACTGTCAAACAGTGTCAGAAATCTTAAGCCGTGTTTTAAAATAAAATCTGTTGCTCTCTGTTGGGATCACATTGCAGTAAGCGCGTCACACGCATCTTCAGAGCATGCTTCCCCGTTCAAAGCTTCCACAAGCTTCCACATGAGACAGAATGCCCAATTTCTGGACTCAGACAAAAATAAGGTGTAAAGGTTTTTTGAACAATCAAGACTTCTTTCAAGGTATCTGCAAGAGGAGAAATTTGACGTTTCGTAGAGGATTGATTAAGAAAAAAAGCCCCACAAAGCCTGAATTTCCTGCAGAGCTTACGTACCTCTAGCATGGGGGTGCGGTCCCAGTTCCCAAATCCCTATTCCGTTTCAGCTCCGAGCATGTGCATTCAAGACTCCTCAGAGCTGCTGTGCAGCGGCTACTTGCGCGAGAGGGACCTAAAGCCACTGCAGCGTCTGCTGTTGCGCTTTTGCAGAAGCAGCATTTTAGATCTTGACAGGGCAGAACAGCCTCTTCCTCGTGGAAGCCTCATCGGGATACAGAGTGTTCCGGCCAGGATCTCAGAGCGCACCTATTCACTCAGAACAGAACACACACCCTACAGGCTAAAGCAGTCACCCCGGTCATAAGCAATTTAATCCCCTCTCTATGGGGGGAAAGGGACAAAACTTCACTTTTCCCTTATTACTTAGAAGAGTGCTTTAACCACCACAGGCATGCGGTGATCTGTAGGAAGGGAAGATCCTTAATTTCCCTTTTTCCCCCCCTCCACTGTTTCTATTATTTGTTTCCTTGAATAACTGCAACAGGGGTTGGACTGCAGCAATGCTGCAGCTGCCTGTAGAGCTTTGGGTTCTTGCCTCAGGAGCCTCGTAGTAGGCCTTAGATGGATCCTGTTACCTTTCTTCATTATGGAAATGATGAGGACTATGAAACACCAGCTCAACTCGACTGGGAGCTTTCCGAAGGACGTACTTTCCGAAGAGTACACCCTGAGTGGAAAGAAGGTCTTAAGACTTGGAGAAGACAAATTTGTTGTTTCCCATGGAAAGTAAAATTCAAAACTTCAGAAAAGACAGAATTAACAAGTATTTGCATGGAACTTGGTAAAAGAATTAAGTATAACAGCTTCTCTCTCTCTCTCTCCCCTCCTGATGACAGATGTCATCACCAGTAGGAGGATATCTTGATAGAAAAACAGCACAGCAAACAAGTTGCCGAAAGCTCAACAGATGCTTTGAGAATATCAACCACCAAGTTCAAGTCTTTTCAAGGACAGAGCTTTTCACAGAAAAGAACAGGTTGTCTTTCATGGGAACTGGGAGCTTCCAAGACACGGGATTTCATCCTGAAACGCCTGATAAACAGCTCTGAGAAACTGGCACAGGAAAGAGGACAGGCTGTGGCAGCCCCAGCAAGTAGCCCTCAGAGAGACCTAAGTAAGGTCTGATGCAAGAGGGGGGAAAGAAAAAGAAAAAGAAAAAAGGGAAGGAAAGGAGAAAAAAAAAAAGAAACCCCCCCAACCAACCCACCACCACCTTCGAGCAGCATCAGGGAGAAGCTAGCCCGCTTTGCCGAGCACCTTGTATAGCTCTTTATGCTGAGAAAAACATTCCTAGCTGACAGAGCCGAAAGCTCTTGAGCGCAAGGGACCAACACTCACACGAACAGATGCTATAACTAAGTCGTCTAAGATGCCAAGCTCCGCAGAATTTCTATTGGGATTGGAAAGTGACTGTATTTGTCTTTCTAAAGCACAGCTCCCTGTCCCCGGTTTCCCATGACATCATTTCCCTTTTCTAATACTCGCGCATCTAGGAAACGGCCAGCTTCCTAGCCCGTGCCGGCTCATACTCGTCTGCTTTAAAAGTAATTTCCAACAGAGGGCATTCTTCCCTCTTACTTAACCAAACAAAACCAAACTCCTCAGCTAGAAGTATAAACAATTCTGCACCAACTTCTTTCTAACACTCAAAACTTTTTGTCCTAGAGCGCCTGCCACATCCTCACAGGCGCTCCCGACTGCACTGAAGCTACACCACTTGCACTGTCGCTACTGCAATGACGGTTTTAAACCCACGGTGAAATCCTGCCATTGGCCTTTGCTTGTAGAAGCAGGCGCAGCCATGAGCACCCAGGAAAGTATAACTTCACCAAAATCAAGGCTCAAAACTCAATGCACTCTTTATTTCACTTTGTTTTGGTCCTAGCATTAAACAATTTACAGCTTTGCTTTTTTTTTTCTTTTTAATTGTAGAAAAGCACATAAACGAGAAAGTAATGGACAGATTTCAGCGCGATACCAAGCAGCATGGATACAATAATCCTTCAACAGGTATTTCATGTCTACCGACCAACTGGAACAACCTTCTTCCCCTTAGAAGTCCAGCTGTAGATAAGCAGATTTCTACAGTCAAAGACCCTGCTGAAAGAGCAATGTCTCGGACGTGGTCAAGTGCAGGCCAGGCAGCTGTGGTTTGTCTGCTGCTCCTGAAGACCTGCTCAAAGCCAAAGTTTCAGCCATGCTCCCTGCCCCAACCGCTAGCAGCAAGCGAGCGGTGCCTGGCACTGCAAGTCTCCCGTGATGCTGTTCAGAAGACTCAGCTGTGCAGATCAACTCTACCCTGTCTCACTTCTGATCAGTGCGAATGAGGCTATAGGAAAATTTCAGTATTTAGCAGATACTTACCCCACCCCCCACACACTGGGACAGAGCTCCAAGGATGGGTTAGACGATGATTTACAGAACCAAAAGGATGAGCATGCTGTCCTTCCAAGACTTCCAAAGTCCCTACCAATGTTTGAATCTGGCCCGGTCTTTCATGGGGTTCAGGGCAAATGTTTCTCCCTACCGATGTTCTAGCATCACTTCAAGTTTCATAGCCACCCCACCAACATATCAGCCTTTGCATATCAGCCTTGAAGAAACTTGGGACCAGCAAAAGGCCCACAGAGACAGAGAAATGATTTGCTAGAAAGAAGGTGACAGATGAAGTTTGTATATTTGCTAGTTTCCAAAATTAAAACCAAGTTAGATGGAGAAACGCAAAATCATTTCACAGAGAAAACTGAAGTTTCTGAACCTAAAGTTCATTGGTTCCCATCCAGGGCACCAAGTCACTACAAGATATGATGTTTGGTAAGAGTAATTTAAGATAAAGGGACTAGAGGTGAATATTAAACACAAATTAAGAATTTCCATGAGATCTCTGGCCACAACTTAAAAAAACTGGAAAGAGGTCCTTGCCAGAAGGACATGTCTGTTCTGGGCAGATCCTTCTCAGTAGAGTGCCTCCAATCCCTCAGATTAACATACACACACACCCAATTTATTGTACAGCTATTTACAGATTGCCAATCTTTCCGGACACATCTAGTTTTGTTCTCACACTTACATGAAGAACACGTCTATGTGAAGTTGTCAATCATATGACTGAACAGGGAAGGCACAATGCCATAAATAAGGCGCTCCAACGCTAACTTGGGGTAGCTCTCATTGGCTGGTCCGGGCTGCTGCCCGGCAAAGGAGATGTCCTTATGTCATGACAGAGAACATGAGAGGTTGACAGTTTCCCTGGCTGTTGCGCATCATCAGGTAAGACTAATCACTAACAGTGTTGTACCTTTCCTACACAGCAACTGAGCTTTCCCCTTCCGCTCAGGCTTAACTACATCAACGGTCAGCTTTATTGTAATAATGTAAATCAATCAAACTTGGTCCTTAGTCTGTTGCTGTTTCATTGTTCGATAGCTAAAGAACCCCTGCTGTGTGACACAGGGTGGGTGGGGGAATTTAAAAAAAATAATCAAAAGAATAAAGAAGTACTCCCCAAATTCAAACCGCTAAGTACAAAGTGCAGCATGGTATTTCTCCTTAAGGTATTTACTGAAAGGTCTATGCCAATATTCAGGTGAGCTGGTTCTACCCCATTCTAACTGCATAAAGTCACAAAACCCACTTCAAATAATTCCAACTTAAACATCCTCTTAAAAATCTTTCCTCCCCATTCTCAATTTCATAGCATTCCGAACAGCACCTACAGTGATCATGTGTGTGGAATAGTTACTGAAGAGTAGTACTTATGATCAGTCTTAATGCAGCATGTGTTAATCACAGTAATTGGGGGGTTTTGTTGCTGTTTCTTTTTTAATGAAGTTCTCTCTTACATGGGTTTACAATTCCAGAAGTAGAACTTACAACACACGCACAGGACAGTGCAAGCCAACTGACGCTGTAGCTGAATTTTTGTTTTATTGAAAACTCACAGGAATGGGTAAAAAAACCTAGAAGCCACATCTTCCAGCAGACTAGAGAATGCTTAATTTCAAAATTAAAGCTGTTGGCAAGAAAAAAAAATACCACTAGATTATTTGGGTATTTCAAGCCTGGCTACATGGACTTTTCACTGTCAAAAAAAAAAAAATCCTTTCATCTGCATTCTTAAGATCGTGGTGATACAAAGATTAAGGTTCTAAGGTTGTAACACACTGAAGTGGAGAAATACAGGATCCCCTTTCTTATTTTATTATGCAAATAATGCTTTCCAAATATTAATCCAGGACTTTATTCATACAATAAAGGGGAAATTTACCCTAGATAGAAGCCCACATTAAAAATGATCCAGCAGATTTTGGGTTGCCTGTAATAATATCTCAAGCCTTGAACTCCAGAAGAGAAGGCAGCCAGAGCATCCAATTGAGTCTGTGAAATACCTAACTGTTCTGCAAGAACAGTTTCCCACAACCTTTTGAGTTTTGTGCAATGCAAACTTCACACGTGAAACCACCTTCATTTAAACAAAGTAGATGCAAAAGCAGGACACCAGCAAAAAACAACTTGTCTGACCAATAATCAGTCTGAGACAGGTACTACAGTCAGAATTAGATTACGTACGTACCAATTACGTCATGAAGTGCCCGCAACCTTGATGTAGGTTAAACAGCTGCTTCTGGATTTACTTAAGATCCCAGAATAGAAGCATATGGAAAATGAAAGTGATTTTTAGTTTCTGATAAAGTTAAAAATATTACAAACTTTTAGCTTTTATTGAAAATTAAATATATTAGCAAAAGCGAGATTTAAGAAATATTTTACAAATGATTTACATACAAGAAAGCCAGTATCAGACATATTCACAAATATGCAAACCTTTAATTACAAAAGGTACCTATTGGCAGCATGATGCTAACCTTGCCACTGCAGTGTGCTCTACTATTGATATGAATAAGGCATAGAACTCACATTTGCACCAACTTAAAAAGTTCAAATAAAACTTGAAGCTTTTAAATCCTGGATGCACAATCCCCAATACACACACACACGCTCTAAGATTTCTTCTTCTAAGCTCTATAAACTAAGTGTGTGCTCTGGAAGAACAGCCAGCCTGAAAAACCCAGTAGAAATGTAACTGGTACTAGCATTTCAGTTTCCTCTTTAACATATACAGGCCTAGGCATGTAAACCATATTCACAGTTTAAGTATTTTTTAGACAGAAGTACCTTTTTTTTTTTTTTTGCATTTGTTCCTTAAAATTGGCTCTCAGTTCAGCATACAGTTCATAATGTCACCTGTTTTGTGATGCATACATTTACAAGATAACTTAAAAATCTGTGCCATATTCATGGTCAAAATAATTCCACAAGAGTAGTAATATCCAACAGTGACATTCAATACTATATTTCAAATATTTGTGCAAACAGCAGAAGAACAGTTGTATGAGGCAAACATTTGCAAAACCTTTAACACCTCCTCAACGTTGTAAACTTGGACTGTCAGCCTTAAGTCCTGCACTTCCCACAGCTTTAAAAAGTCAGTGGCTAAAATTATCAAGTCTCAGAAAGGTTCTCTTCTACATAGTGCAAATTGTAATGTAGATAATGCGAAAGACATATCTAGCTGGATTGACTTTGTGCAATCATCAGTGGTCTTCTCTCATAGTTGAAGAAAGAGTGCATTCAAGAACCACGTGGTTCAGGAAGCCAGGAGGGTGGGGAGGAGAGAGAAAAAGCAGTTCCGTTACACTTCTCAAACCAGCGCTAGATGTGCAAAGGCAGCAAAAATTCCAGCTGCTACTACAACCAGAACAGAGTAACTTTTCAGGAAGACCCAGGCGGTTAGTCACTTGGACTGGTCTCTAGAAAAATATGTGAGTATATGTTGGATTTTTATCAGACGGTCTTTTAAAGACATCATGGAGAGAACTGATAGCTGGTACCTGGGGTCTACTGGGAGAACAGCTAGGAGCCACCAACACCAAGCAGGACCATTGGGCATTGCCTAAAAATAAAAGACAAGTTGGTTACCCATAACCAATGTAGTATAGTTGACTAACATGAAGACATCAAAAGACAAAGTCATCAATGACAAAGACTGGTTTAAACTAGAGAATTCCAGATCCATGAGATGAGAAGGATTCTGAAGGGATCTGTTCTGATCCCTCCCCAACTGAGAAGTCAAATAAAGTACACTTAAACTAAGCTTGAGAAAGCATTTATTTTTAAGACAACAAAGGAAGCCCATCGCTTCCTTGGGAGAAGATGGCTAAGCATAGGACAGTCACCTAATAACAAACCTCCCTGATAAAAATGAAATCCGTTACCTGTCATACTATTCTCAAGGCTTGAATATTCTTGAAGCCCAACATTTTCATTACAATTGTCTTTGTTATATTTGATGGACTCCTCTATCACCTCCCAATTCCACTCCCTTCTCATTACCTCCTAGACAGAGCAGGACTATTTAATCAGTTTCCTCTAAGTTGATGAAACATACTATGTAACTTTTTCCTGTACTTGATTCAATTCTCTAGACCAAGCCTTAAATGACATGCCCAGAACTGGACATAATACTCCTCAGCAGAGGTCCAATCACTGCAGAGAAGATTAATTACCTCAAATGACTTGCAAAAACATTACTGGCAGTGGTACACTCCAGGATGACATTTCCTCCCTTGCATCTGTATCACACAGTTGACACATTTGTGTTCTGTTATAAATCTCAGGTACATACCCACAGTATCGCTGCCCTGCTAGTTATCCTGGTTTTGCACACTTATTCCTCTTTCCTAGTACGTTGGTTTAAATCTGTTTTTTTTATCAAATTGTTCTAAAGTCACTTCTGAATTCATGCACTGGCCTCCACAGCATCTACAGTCCTCCCAGATCAGTTAATATAGGCTCATAAAAGTATGTAGCTGATGGGTGATGGACAGGCTCTCCTAAGATCCCACTTCATAATGCCACTTTGAAAGCCAAATTTTACGTATTTTTCAATATTACTTTTCTCCAGCCTCCACTCTCTCAGGATCTCACCCACCTTCATTAATTGTTTACAATAACCATTAAAAAGATTGCTGCAGCTAGTTTCTTAAGAAACATTTGTCAAGTCCTAGCAGCTGCAGCAGTTTATGGCGCTAGCTCAGAAAGGAGGGAAGTGTTATTTGTGATTACCTCTTTGCCAAACATTACTACCTGCATGTGTCGCAGGGAAGAAAATACACTTTTTTCCCATTTGAATTCTAACAGCTTTACACAAACCAACAGTTTAAAACGTTACTGGAACTTAAAAGCGTTCCCAGTTTACTTGTTTTATCTCCACAGCAGCGTATCATACTTCCCCGCAAACGCTGTTGAACAGTGACAGAACTGCCTTTTGCTGCTCATCGTAAGACAAACAAGATGCAAGCCTTATGCCTTCAAAGTTGCAAAACAGTCTTTTTTTTTTTTTTCCTTTTAATGTTTAACAGTTGTTAGCAGGGTTTTTAGTTTTAGAAATAAGCACCTAATAATCAATACTAAATGATGTCTCACCTGCATATTTTCCTCCCTGTCAGGCATGGGCCCAAAGTGCTGAAGAATTTGAGTGCGAAATTTGTTTCTTAAGTTTTGGAACCAACTGCAGGCCTGATTGTAAACCAAATTGTGAAGTTCTCTCAGTTTCTTTAGTTCTTCTTCATCAGCAACCTATAGGAATGATGTTATAAAAATATCACTAGAGACAAAGAAACAATTAAGGTGTTCAAGCTAAAAATAAAAAAACATTCAATTTCAACTATATTTAGATACATTTCTTGCATTCTCCTAAACCTTGATTGCTAATGACTGAATAGTAAAGAAGTCCCATGATACTTTTAAAAGTTACAGCTTCTAACTACTGTTCAAACAAAACCCACAGTACTTCTTTGTTGCTTTATAATAATAAAAAATTAAGCTAGCTTCCATTTCTTCCGTGTGCCAGCACTGAATCTTCCAGTGGTCTAGGGACCTAAAAATTTGAAACAGAGCTCTCAAGAACAAATCAAACAAAAATCTTGAGATATTAGTAATAGTAAGTATTTATAAAGCATTCTGGATACCTTAACATCTTCCAAATATTCAATGTCTGCAGTGCAATAACCATCTTTCATCCCTCTCCGTAAAACTCTAAATCTCTTTCCACCAACTGTATCAACAACAGACCGTCCATCAGGCAGAAAATGAACATTCCTAATTTGCAGCATGCATCCATAATCTGCAAAACTAGAAAACAGACCTTGTCAGTAATGCAATCACACACTTCTGAAAGGAGACTTCTTATAATTAAAAAAAGACAGAAGAGATGAGAAGCTTAGAGTTAGGATGTAAACCTACCCATTTTGAGAATCACTTATACACATCCCAAACTGTTTAGTCCCAGTTTCCATACTTCTGCGAATCATTAGTCGGTATCTTGGCTCAAACACATGTAGAGGGCAAGGCACAGTAGGATATGCCATAGTGCAAACAAACATTGGAACATTCTTGGTCAAGCTTCAAGAGAACATCAAAAGAAATATGCGGCTTAAAAATCTAATCACTGAACTATGCCAAGACAATACATTTTTTTCAGTATGTTTGCTATATTTGAGGCCATAAAGCACTCTTTTCAAAGTTTAATAATAAGCACACTATAATAACTTTCATAAACAATAAAAGCACATACTAATACCAGTGACTGAATACCTATGTACTGATCTGAATACATACTGGACAGTATACCTCATAGTTATCTAGTTACCAAGTATTTAGTCCGAGAATGAAGGACTTTGTTTTGGGGGTAGGGGCATAGTTATTTTTTTCCTTTCTGGTTTAGTTTGAGCCATACAAGCCATTATGTCCTCAGTGTCACAGTTTTCCTGAAACTAAAAAGATGGAGCAGTAACTACATAGTAGCTAGGTCACCATTTAGATTATTTTCAGTGACGGACTCCAGATCACAAGATGCAACCCAGGATATAATTTTTACCTTGCAATATGCCTCAGCAGGCCTAACTGAAAAATAAAGTATTTTTTTCATGCTATTTTATCAGGTACGTACAGTTGATAGTTGATACAAACAAGTTAGCATTAAAACATGAGCAGGTATTTTAATACCTTTCAGACTTCAAACCATAAATCTAATGTATGGATTCTGCTACGTAAGTTGCATGAGCTACCGTTTTAAATAGCTTTCCAACATTCATAACTACAATACACGATGCTTTGTATATCTGAGGAACTCTACTAGAGATAAACATCAAGATCACAAAAAAATCCTAACAACTTCTTTTCATTACATCTATTTTTAAACAACTGATGTCTATCATTAACTGCTTTGAAAGAAATTCAAGTATCTGAGACACTGCAGCCAACTGAAGAGGACAATTCCGTTAACAGCAGCAAAGCTAAAACCAAAGCTCCACAACAGTGCACACCAAGAGAAGCAGAAGGGCAAACTCATTTTGTAGAGGACTTAAGAGCCTCGCGTTGCTATTATCAAAGTGTGATTTTTTTTTTTTTTATTTCCACACTACTTAAAAACCTGTTAATTTTTTGAAATATGCATTTAAGACACCAAATTAACATGTCTTTATACACCTACTTGCATCCACAATATGCCATTATTAATAATCAAAAAAATTATTAGACATTTCTAAAAAGGCTTTCCATACTAATCTTTGAGTTTTCTAGATAAAAGACGGCAAGCTTACTTCGAGTGCTCAGCGGTTTCTTCAGCATGAATTCTTTTTCTCTCGTGTAATTCATCAGACAAATATTTCATTATTAATTCCTCCAGCAGTTCTGTGATGCTGTATTTTCTGCTTGCAAGGTACTGTAAGAAATTTTTTATAAAAAATGTATATCAATATTTCTTTTCATATATATTCACAAAAGACTTGAAAAAATGCATTTTTATTTAAAACCATGATATGTGAAATGTGTCATAAATTGTATTTAAACCCATGAAAACTTACAGCTCTGCAGTTCTTATGTTTCATTACTTAACGCCTAACGTTACTCTAATACTTGAAAATGAGACTCTCTGTTTTAGTTCTCAGTGCCTGACAACTCAAGTGTCTAACTCAGTGTTTATTTCTACGCTTACCAGAGACAGAATTGAATTCCCAGGTTATACAGCCATACGAATAAGGGAAGTGTACAGAAATCACAGAGAGGTTTTACTGAAAAGTTACCAAAGTTTACAAACACTCAGGGTTTAATTACACCAATAAAGTAGATAATCACGGGAACATAAAACCTCTAAGACAAATTTAGGCAAACCTAATCAACTCGTATGGACAAAGCTTGTCTCAAGGTTGTCCTCCCTAGCAGCAATGCATAACCTGAGTGAATCAAAGTTGTTGGGTTTAAGTGAAACAGCTTTTAAAATTATACAGTATTTGTATTTGTGAGCTCTGCCGAGAAACAGTACCTCTTTCAAACTCTCCTTGCAGAGTGGACACTGAGGAGCATGGTCTAAACACCGTTCCAAGCAACCTTTGCAAAAAGTGTGCCCACACGGGGTTGTCACTGGCTCAAAGAATAGCCTGAAACAAAGTTGTTATAAGTTAGATACCATGGCAAGTATGTGTTTTGCTATAAAAGTCAGTGACCAACCTCTTCAATTTTTAAGACTAGTTATACCATAACAAAGCAGAGAAAATTAATCCCACGTCTCCTTATTCTACTTTTTTCCCTATACTGCAGTTTATTTCCATTTACCATCTCACGGCTCATTTTTTGTGTTTTCAGATGAATCTGGACACATTTCAACACTCTAAATACCTACATATTTATCGCAATGTACAAAGATTTTAGTCTCACTACATAGAGATTCAGAATATGCAAAATTACGTGATTCTTTGATGAGCTAAGTTGTTTTAGTAGCAGTCTTACATACTAGTAACATAACTATGGACAGTTTAGTATACACCATATGTTTTAAGGTATTTATTCTGAAAACCAAGATGACTCAATATGAGCTTTTGAATACATCAGCTATGTTTAAGTAGACTAACATTCTGAAGTATCTACATCTCCTAGACAAATAAGAGGTTCACAGGCAATACTTCTAACCATTAGCCTTCCCAAAATAGTAAGTTAAATAGTTTTATTGACTAAAAAACCCCTAACATTTAACCACAAAAGATGCTGTCCTTTTTAAGTTACCAGTGAACACCACCAAGTTTAATCTAAAAGACAGCTTGATTAAAACCATGCTGTATTACATAGTGCTATAGCAAGTGACATTTAAATAAGCATTTAACTGCAGGGATAGAGGAAGGCTGAAAATTATTGACTGGTATCGGAACTCATCACAATCTATGAAGTACCTCAGCTTGTATGTGTAACAGATACGTGGCCAAGCATCTATAATGGAAATACTGAATCAAGGAAGAAATCTCACCTCATACATAGAGAGCACTCAAAATCTGATACATCAATCAAATCCCCTGGAATTGTTCCAAAAGCCAGTGTCATGTCCCTTTTTGTACTTTCTAAGGAAAAGCAAGACAAAAATACTCCTTCAAAGAAAGGCACAAGACAGTAAATACTTTCAATTTCAAAGTAAGTGGCTGTTTACCTCCTTGCTTTTTGTGTTTGTTTCTTCCATCTTCACATACAACTGTATCCTGTTCTGAAAAGGAAAGCTTTCTTTTCAACAAAGCACCTTTTTCTTGTCCAGAGAGAAGGGGCTCAGAAGACACTCTCTTTAAGCCATCTTCCTTGGCAAGGTCTTTCGTTGAGTTAAGAGCATGGGCAGACTGTGCACGATTTAAGCTTCCACTGACAGGCTGCAGTGCCTCTGATCCTCCTAAACTCTGTAATAGTAAGATGAACTGAACTGTACTTAAAGAGTACCACAAATCTAAGCATATAAGATGTGAACGTGCGAAGATATATAAGCCAAACTGACACCCACAGTTAGTTCATTAGTTAACTAGAGGAATTTGATAAGTCAAGACAGTATTCAAATTTGCTTAGCAGTAACAATTTAAAAATCTTCATCTGCTTCAAAGAGAAGGAAAACTGTATTTCTCTCTATTTTGAAGTCACTAATGTCAAATCTCAGTACCTTCTAATAAGCAGTTCACTGGAATGAGGAGTCAGTCTAACAGTCCAAATGAAAATACATTACTCCCAAATCACTGTTCTTTTCTTCCAATTTAGCTTACAGAAAGTAAGCATTTAGGCTGGAAAGTATGTATGACAAATAAAGACATTGGAACATCTGATGTTTGCGTATCAGCCAAAGAGAAAAGTTATCCTATAGTTTCTATTACCTGCTCAGGACAAAGCTGTAAGTTGCAGTAAGTCTCAGTCACTTCAGAACCGAGTATAAACGGTTTATTTCGAACATGCGGTAGATTCCAGGCAGATTCCTTCAGACTCTCTCCTAACTTCTCTGGTGACAGCACATCACACAATGTCTAGAAAACAAACAGCTAAATGTTCATAACAATAATAAAGCTACATCTAGATCCTTTTTTCATAAAACTACATACCAAAAATAAGAATTTAATCTATATGAAGTTAGCCCCATAAATAGAGCTTTATTTAAGCAGTAACTGAGATAAAACAATTGAGAACAAGCGGAAATCTACATACCTATATTACTAAAAATAAATTTATCTAGAAATCTTTTCTACTACAAGTAAGCTCTTTGAACAGTTAGACTTTATCAATTCATTATCATGCAGCTTTTTCAATGTAAATTCTTATTGTAAAAAAAATATATTGTACTCTGGGCACAAAAAAGTTCAACCTAGAATATTTAACTTGCTGCCTGCTCTCCAGTTTTCTAAATTTTCATTCAGTAACTTCAAAAGCATATGTACTTTGAAACATGTACTTAAAACTTGTACATTAGGACTACCTCTTCAACACAGCATGATATATATTGAAACGAACTAATTTGCCACCTGAACCTTCCCTGTATGTATTGAAGAATTTTAGATGCTCGCAGTCTACCATAATAGGAGCTTCATAAAGGAACCAAGTCAGGGATATTAATCCCATTTAATAAAAAAAATTACCTTTTCTACTTCTAGCTTGGCTGGAAGAAAGTCCTCATCAAGGGCTAAGCACTGTAGAAACAGTTGTAAGGCATCACCTACAAAGCCAGAGTCTTGCAGCACTTTTCCTTTCCGGAAGTAAACCTGAAAAACAGATACCATGAAGACATTTCTAGAGAGTATGTAGAACTGCAGCATTCATCCTAGAGGCATTACAACAGAGTTAGAATTAGAACCCTTCATGACACAGAGAATGTAGCTCTTCAACAAACTTTAGCTGTGCAGTGTGTATTACCTATATGCCTTGTCTAATACACATCCCCTACAATGTTTGAAAAGTCATGGGATAGGCTGGTGTTAGCCTCCTTCCAGCTAATTTGTTTTAGCTTACATGAAGGGATAAAAACCCCACTAGTGCTGAGTTCATGAAAGGCCTTAATTTCCCCTTTCTGTGAGCCTTTGGAGGGGAAGAAGGGGGACGTGCAATGCAAATTATTATATAACCTCATACAACAGCTTACAGGACACCCTTCTTGCCTTCTGTTTCATTAAAAGCCTTATGGTTCCAACTCTGCAGGAGAAGGGTAACTACAGAGAAAACAATCCACATAACCATGCATCCCTTACACCTTAATCTATATTCATAACACAAAACAATGCACTTTTGGAATTGTTTCCTCCAACTATATTTTAGTTTTGAACACTAGACAGCAGCTAGGAAAAAGAAAAAATCTGTTTACTACAAAAAAAAGGGGAGAAAAGACTACTGAATTTTGCTGAACCTACCTATAACTATATGACACCGGAACTAAGTCGTCCCTTAACCAAGTTATCTCAATTTTTCGAAGTTGCATTTGCAGTAATATGAATACAAGTTAGATAAAAACAACAGTTATCTAACAAAAGTTAGATAAGTTAGATAAAACAACAACATCTATTTGTATTTGAGATTTTGGATAATGGGCCAGAAAACTGAATTAAAAAATCCAACCAACCAAACAAAAACCCCAAACCCCCCAAAACCCCAGAGTGCAGTTTCTACAAACGACTGCCAGTATTAACAGTAGAGTCTGTTAAGCAAGGTTCAGATGAGGGCATACATCATTTTTGGTGGATTTGGGCAATTTCATTAAGACGTATCCTGAAGAAGGAAAGTATGCTAATACTCCTCTTGCAGACAGATTATTTTCCTATGGAACTAAGAACTGTTAGAAGAATCCATCAAACCAAGCTCAGTTAAGAGAAGTATCTTTCCAAACACATAGAAAAAAATAGGTAGCACTACCAATGCTGAGAGGCAAAAAGTAGGATGCTCTCTGAATTTGCAGTAGCCACAGAACTGCTGAACACAGGAGAGACCAAGACAGCAGCAGTCATCTCCTCCTGTGTGGCAAGATCTTGCTGGTCCTGCTGTGCTCAGAGTTCAGACAGTGCTGCAATATGCAGTTCCTTACAGTTCTGAAGGCCAGTGACTCCCCAGCTGCCTGCACTATTTGCAAAGCTCAGCTCCCACTGAGTTTCTTTGGGTTTTTCAAAGAAAAACTTTGCAAGCTAAAACAGCAAAGTGTCCTTCTCTTAATAAAAATTAACAAATAAACAAAACAAACACCATACCCCAGCTGTTACAGGTTGTATCACCATAAGCTATCCCTGCTCCAAGTACTGGAGCCACTAAAAGAGGCCCCAAACACATGCTTACATTTTTTAGCCAATACTATTGCAAAAGAATTTATTGCTTGTGCTAAATGTTTTTTGAGACTCTTTGGTAGCATTTGGAAAAGAAAACTGTGTTGTCCTATTTATACAGCAAACTTTTACCAGTAAAACTCAAAAAACTATGAGAGAAATGTTGACTTAACATGGAGCCAAGAATTCTAGTCCTGACTGGCAACAACAGTGCTCACTCATCTCATGTGATATGCTCAAGGAACAGATAATGCTTAAAATGCCCTGGCTTTGGGAAATACAAAGTATAAACACTTCAGGGAAGTGCAGAGCTTATAAAGGACTAACTTGTACATAGCCTAAGAAATTTAAAAACTCAATTATATCAACCTACCAAACGTGCAGGCCTCTAAAGTTCTGCTTTCAAGCAATTAAAGCTGGCTGCACAATTTCTGCCAACCATCCTGTCAAATAACATTAAGCTGAAGTTACGTTTGTAAATATTTAATAACTTTTCTTAAGAGAACACATAAAAGTGTTCTTATAAAGTAGTAAAATAATCAATAACAAGTAACTACAGACAGCACAAAAGTACTGCGTAATACTTCCCAAGAAGTCAGTTCGACTGCAGTTAACCCTTCATCTAAAGACACCACTTCATGTTGTGATATGAAATAAAAACGCCTGAAGTTTTTGATGAAGGCTAAATTAACAGTTCCAAGTAGATTCATCAATCAACTCTAGCCTGCCGTACTCACCAGTAGCCTGTCTCAGGTAAGTATTTTAAGATACCTTTTAGCGTTTTGCATGTCTTACAAGATAACATTTAAGGTAAGTGACCTAGGTTCTTAACTTGATGTAAGTATAATTTAGAATTCATTAATTCTATAGATAAACACAGATTTTGAAAAACAAAGAGTTCATTTCAACTTACCTCTGGCCAATTTGGCATTTTAGAAATAACAAAATTTAGATCTTCTATGGCTGTTTTGTATTCTTGGAGGCCAACATATGACTCAGCTCTGTAAATTCTTAGCATCAAGTCATGGGAATCTGAAGACAAAAATTAAGTAACATTTTTAATAATTCAGAAATTTGTAATTTTTAATTTTATATGCTTTCATAGTGATATGTCACAACCACACTTTTTTGTACCATATTTTCAAAATTACTGGAGTACATTCTCCCCCACCCACCAGTGTTTGTGTAATAAAAGCAGCAGCAATTCCAGGCTCATGTCTTTCAAGCTAGATCAAATTTCGTACCCTCTAATGTATCTTGCAGCAACAAGAAAATATATTTTGAAAGGTCCAACACTGAGACTGACAGAATAAAGTACTGCTCAGTACTGCTGTGACACCAAAAACTGAGGACTAAGTAGACTTCAGCTTTACAGTACACCCATTCAAAACCACAGAAATCCGGGAATTCACCACACTTTTATAGAAAAGTCTAAGTATTACAAAGTTTTTCAAATGTTCAAGTTTTTCTTTAGACTGTAATTTGTTTTTACAACATCCAGCTACTTCCAACTATGGCTGGACATACAGATTCCACTTTCACAACGGCATCATCTGCTAAATACCCGAAGCAGGATTATCGCTATGTGGTCTGAAAAGAGAGCGCCAATACCAGAAAGCCTTTAACACCAGCTGGCAGCCCTGTTGTAAGGAGCTGTACTAGTGGAACTTCTGCAATGGGAAAACATTAGTATGGGTGCAGGGAAGACAAGTTCTCACGTCCAACATACAGTGTTTTGCACTTTCAGTAAAGCAACCTCTAAATGGGAAGCACATCCATCTCCACGCCACTAAAACTATGGTTTTTGTACCACAACTAATTGTAGTTGTTGCTTGGAAAAAAAAAAAAAGCCAGCATGCTGCTTTGTTCTTGATTTTTTTTAAATACACCTGTTTTTCACAAGATAGGCACAAGATATTCACAAGATAAACGAGTCAAACATTGGTCTACTGTAAACAACACTAGAATTAAATAGTTCTTTAAGTTTGTTTTAACCAAATTTTCTTGGGAGAGGATCATTTCAATTTTATATTTCATCTTAGTCTATTCAAAAATGTCTGGTTTAAATGTTCATAATTTCAAACATTAGCTTGTTTTACATTTTAAATGGCAGACTGGTCAATGTTCCCACGTATTCCAACATATTGCTTTGTATTTAGATCTGCAATGCTACATGTAAAAAGACCTTAATGGAAAAGAAAGGGTTAAGAAAATCAAAACTGACAGAAGATTTCGCAGCTGAAATTGAAGTGTTGTCTTTCCAGTTGACAGTTTCCCTTCAAACAGAAATATTCCCAAACTTCGTTTGTTTGTTTATTTTATTTTAGACATAATAAAATGTTTGTATTAACAGAAGCCTAGGAAATTGTCTTTGTCTAACTTAAACAGGTAATTCTGCATGCACAAGAACTCTGAAGCCTGCTTTCCTACAGCTTTGTGCTTTGTGACTGTTAACAGCCCAGTAAAGCGGGATCAGATCAAACTTCAGACCGCTTTTTCAGTTCTATTTCACTGTCTGGGGTCCATCAGACTTAGTATCAAACCAAATTCTTTTCTTCAGAGGTAGCGGCAAATGCAAGTCTTTGTCCTCTGACAAGCTACCTATTTGCACATAATCAGAGGGAGCTCATCCGTTTCAGACTTTCAAGTGCAGAAGATGACCTGACGAACTCCGGAGCCATCCTTTCTGGGGGGAGGGTGAGGGGTCGTTTGAAGATAAAAATGTAAGTTCAAGTCTACAGCAGGTGGACATTTTGTCCATCTCTTTTTCAACGAGAAAAGCACGGGTCCAACTGAACTGGTACAAAACAAAGGGCTAAACCAAGAACTGGGACCCCAACTCTGCTGCTGAACACAAACTGCCCATGAATGAGCAATACATAAAATAAATTTGGTCTAAACATCTGCAAGACCAAACGATCTACATTTACATGTCTAATTTTGCAACCATAATTTAATTTCTCTGTAATTGTGAAAACATAATTTTGCAATGTTCTGGCATGTATCTTAATGTTTGCCACCAGAAGGGAGGATGCAAAACTGTTTCAAATCTTTATACCAAAGACTAAACAGAACAGAAACACAACTTGTACTTCAATTTTCAGTTTCAGTAACCCAATAACCAATGAACTAGCTTACCCAAAGACAAATGATTTTAATAAAAAAGACACCAACTACTCTGAGTACAGAACCGTGTGTACCCATTATTATTGCATTAATAGAAAAGTATACAAAGGTGTACACACAAACCCCCACTCTTTATGAGGTTTGTTTTGTTTTTTTTTTATACTGCTTCCAAAGCATCTCCTCCTGGCTACTGTCAGCAAAAGCATACCAATAAATGGACCACCTCTGGTCTGATCCTGCATGCTTCTTAAAAATATACCAAGTTCTTCAAAATAAGACATCCACATCACAACCACTATGCAGAAAAACTTTAGGACACAGTATTTATTAATCCAGTACTATAAGGTCACCCCAATGATCAGGGGTTGGAACACACAACCCACGAGAAGAGGCTGAGAGAACTGGGCCTTAGTGGAAAAGTCCTGGGAGAACCCAAGAGACTTCCAGAATCTAAGAGGAGGCTACCTAGAAGACTCTTCACTGAAGCGCATGGGGAAAAAACAAGAGGCAATGGTTATAAACTGAAACAAGGGTAGTTCTGACTTGAAATAAGGAGAAAATTTTTCAGTGTGAAGATAATTAACCTTTGAGCAGGTTGCCCGGAGAAGCTATGGAATCTTCATCCTTGCAGGTGTTCATGACCCAGCTGGATAAAACTTTTAAGCAAATTGCTCTGAACTCAAGAGTTTATTCTGCTTTTCTCCTGCAAAC